CCTATTTAGTAAATGTGTCGAACTTCAATTCAAGATGTCCAGCCCACTCTATATATAAATAGATATTGTTCCATCAGTTTAAACACACTCCATCTCAAAACTAACACTATGGAATTACCGCATCATTTTCCTATGTTCCATGTACACTCCATCTCTCTGAGCTACTCTTATTTAATTCATTTATTCTCTGATCATATTCTCCATCGACCTACTATTAATTAGGTAGGTAGGTCGATGGTACATAGATAAGTACGTAGTATAAGTTCACACTAATTAAGTATTTATAGTTATTTATTTTTCGGGTCTTTATTTACAACTTCTCACTGACTCGATCTACCAGAGGCATATACAGAGTCATGTTAGGCCTTGACTCACCCAAATTTCAAATAATCTTAAATATTAGTACGGAGTATAGGAGATTATGTAAAATTATACAGAGTATCCAAGAAAATTATGTGTACCAGCTTGGCTTGATCAAGTGTCTTGATTGTCTTTGCGATTGAATTTTTAGTTGAATTTTTTTTATGAATAAACTAGACTTGATGAAGAGCATGTCAGAAAAATTTCATCCAAAAAATCCGTCAAGAAGGGCCTCAAACGCCACCGTGAGGACGGCAGTTCCGGTCAGGAAGGCTTGACCGGAAGATTACTCTCTATATAGAATTGTCTTTCAATTGATGAATGAACATGAATGTTTCATTGTTAGGTTTGGCTTCTTGTTTTGGCAATGCTGTGGATGTGTTGTAGTTCATCAAGCAGTGGGGGGGCAAACGCAAAGTCGTACTTAGCAGTAAATTGCCGGAAACACAAGTTTAACTTGACGGAATTCGGAGGTGTCGGCGACGGAAAGGCCCTAAACACAGAGGCATTTGGCAAGGCTATAACTCACCTCAGCCAGTATGCTTCTGACGGTGGTTCCCTGCTCATTGTTCCCGCCGGGACATGGCTGACTGGCCCATTCAATTTGACCAGTAATTTCACCCTTTATCTCGATAAAGATGCTGTTATTCTGGCCTCTCAGGTACATACATAGACATAGGATCGAATAAAAGCTCTTCCTAATTTATAAATTATATAAACTCATCTTAATCATTCGTTAAATTATTCTAAAAATTGGAATCACACGGTTGTATTTTGACAATAAAACTTTACTCTTTTGGGATATAACTCTTTAAACGATAATATATATGGAATTGTTGTTTCATCGTAAAATAATACTCCGTATGCAACACTTTTTAATAACCTTAATATACAATACAAATACGGCAAAAATCATCTTACAAACGTTTGCACAATAAGTGCAATTTGTCTCGTATCCGCCCCCATGTAGGTACCGCTAAGATCTTGAGATATTTTACCTGTCTCATTATATATCTTTTTTTTTTTAATTTCACACAACTATATATTACAATATTACTAAAGTAAATAAATAGTAAAAGTATGATTCAAATTTGAGTAGATAAAGTAAAATGATATGATAAATGAATTGCATATTTCTTGCAAAAAATATACGTAGTAAATTCATTTTTTGATAACCCATAAAAGAGAAATCAGACATAAAATGAGACATAAACTATTTAAACATAACATTTTAATTTATTATAGCTTATAATTATTTTTACATAAAGATACACATGTAAGAATATTGGGGGAAAACGCCTCTTAGTTTCCTATAAAGCCGACCCTCGGATCCCTCGATCACTATTCCATAATTTCCATTAATTATTCCAAGCACATGTTTAATTGATGAAAATATCTGTTTTTACCCATCTTTTAATTTGAATAAAATAAAAAATATTTCTTAAAAATTAGGAAACACCTTTTGACTATTGATTTAGAGAAAAATGAAGGCTATGACCATCACATCAACGTTTTTTTGTTTTTTTTAAAAAAGAGAGCACCTAGTTAATTGGGTATACATATGGAAATTAAACAAAATATGGAGGCCTTTCCCACAACCTATATTACTTCCCCAGCACCGCCACAAACGATCTGTATAACAGCCATCTTATGTAAAATGTGTCGTTTTCTTTAAAAATGCTAATTTTTTCTCCGAAACTACTACCGAGAAGGCACTATTGATGCTTGTTGGCATTTTTCGGTGATCAGAGCTAGTGGTAATAAGAGGGTGCTGAGGTGGAGGTAGAGGTATGTATAGTTTCTTTATTTATTAGCTTACTCTGTGTGCTTTTATTTGGGAAAATTCTCGAAATAAGAATAAAAAGTTTGAAAATTCTAAAATGGGATTGTCATGTTTTTTCGGTCCAAAATAGGAGTAATTACTGTCAAGTTTGGAAAATATTTCCATATTTAAAGTCTGGTAGTGCCAAAACATGCAATTGTTAGTCTTATTTTCAGAATAAAAACATGATAGTCCAATTTTGGAATATTCAAACGTTTTAGTCCTATTTAGGGTAATTTCCCATTTCATTTTCATTTTTATTTTTAGTTTTTTATAATCATTAAAGTTTTTTTAATAATTTCATTTAATATTTATTTCATGTTTTTTCCCAATTTTATTATAAATAAAATTATTTATAACTTTATGTTTTAAATGTTAATAAAAATATGAAATATATATAAACATAACAAGGGTAGGATTGGAAATTTACTCCTATTTAGAGAATTTAAAAGTTATACTCCTATTCTTGCAATTTAAGCTCCATTTAGTACTATTTGTAGAATTACTCCATTAAAATGAGTAGAATTATTTGTATCATATATTTGCAAATTTGCACGACATAGATTAGAAGCCCACATTAATATACGTTAATACTCCCTCCGTCCTAAATTAACTTCTCACTTTTCGTTTTGGACAGTTCCGAAATACAGTCTCACTTCCTTATTTATCAAACAAATAAATATCAAAATAGTGTCAAACAATGTCAAAAAAGTGTCCTCTACACATATTATTTCTATAATATGTGTAAAATCTAAGTGTAACCTTAAATATGGGACGAAGGGAGTATAAGACAGAATAAATAAAAGTGTGCTGCATTTAAATGGATTCATGTATATTTATCTCTAATATCTTCTAATATTTATATATATATTTCATATTGATCGAATAGAAAGTAGAAGATTATCAACTCATTGCCGCATTGCCATCTTACGGAAGGGGTAGAGATGCTCCGGGAGGCAGGTTTATAAGCCTCATCTTTGGAACTAACCTCACCGATGTTGTCATTACTGGTAAATAATTAAATTATAGTTGTTAATAATGATATGATTAGTCTTAACCGCTAAAGCCCACAGAATGTTTTCGGACTAATTTGCCGGTTGAATCAATAACAATGAGCTCCATCGTTAATTCGTTATTGTTAAATTAATAACACTAACCAAATAGAAAAACGAGGTTAACAAATTAAACGAGCTCACGATCAAAAAAAAAAAAAAATTAAACGAGCTCTTATATTAATAGAAATTCTCTCAAAAATGAATACGAATTGAAGTACTCCGTATAACATATTGCATAATGTTATAAGATGAATTGTTTTACTCGCTCTTATAAGATGACTTTTGTAGTATTTGATAACAAACATTACTTAGTCGTATTTCTGAATTATGTATGTATATGTGTATTCCCATTTTCAGAAAATTCTTTTATATTTATTGCTTTCCAGGATACGACATTAAGGTTTCCATTTTGAATACATGTGCACTAAAATTGTTATAGTTTGATATTCAACAATATAACTTAATTAAAACAAATTCGACAATAGTCATAAAGTTGTATAATATAAAAAACGGGTTCATATACCAAACCCCTTCATGACATATATATTTAGCACATTAGTTCCATGTGATTTAAAAAATATGTTAAATTCTCATGTGTTATAATTATGAGATCCCTGTAATTATTCATGCGGAAAACTCCTTTCAAGAACAAGTTTTACAATTTTGAAATCATTTATCTTAATAATATGATATGATTGTATATATATGTAAGTAAAGTTTTTAACAATTTTAAATTATACAAAAATACTAATCACTTTTCATATATTCAAAAATTAAATTTGCTCATATAAGAGATTATGCGCATGAATACTTACATAGAATAACACATAGAATAACACATGGAGATTTGATTCATTTTTTAAATCACCACGTGGGCAGTGGCGGAACCAGAACAATATTTGAGGAGGGGCTGAAATTCCATACCGGATTTTTTTTCTATTAATGATGACATTATTTGGACTGAAATTTTATGATCTAGTATGGTATGATTTGGTCTATTTAAAGTCTGACATGGTCTGATTTTATAGATGTCTAGTCTCTGTGTATTATACAACTGTCGAAATGTGATTTGATCCGTTTAAGTCTAGTATAATTTTGTTTTGATTTGGAATTATAAGTAATTCAAGTGAAATTATCCTAATTTCTTGGTAACCTCGTTTAGAAATCCAGCACCCGTTTTACAAATTGTAATACGCTACGTAATAACATAGGCAATCTAGCAATTTATAAAATCTTAAATTCACATATCACATACTATATGTATTGTGAATAATAGTCATTTTTATTGACCTAAGTTATTTAAAATGGTAGATAACTTGAGGAAGTAAAATCAAGAAATAACTTAGGTAAGTAAATTAGTATATAAGTAAACAAATTAAAGACTGTTAAAATAAATTTAAAATCAAGAAATTAACTAACTAAATCAATAAATGAATATGAAATAATCGAGTACACAAGACACACAATAACACAACCGTAATTGCTAAAAGCCCAAAGTTGATTAACAATTCAGGAAAATTGAAATTATACTTTTTGGAATCAAAGAAATAATGACTCGCTGCTCCCCTGCCGGGCTGAATTGCTGAAAAGAGCAGGCCCGCAAGGGAGAAACAATTTAGGTCTTCTCAAATTTATATCATAGGCTTTAGAGCCCAATTAGAAAGTTAGGTATGCCCGTTTGCACGCAACAATCAGGGGTCTTGCGATGCCGTTTTTTACCATATGACTTAACTTAGCCAAACGATGCCGTTTGGATTAAGTCACAAACAGATCAGCCGGAAATGACAGAGACACAGAGCATCGTAGCAGAGCGAAATCGCTAAACAGCAGAAGAAAACGGGAGAGGAAGATAGAAGACGACCCGGGGCGGCAAATAATTTACACCTATATATACCTTAAACACTCCGGCGAAGGGGTGGCGCCAGCACCGGCTCGCCCACCCCTGGTTCCGCCACTGCACGTGGGCTAATGTGTGAATAAATCCTACTCCGTATAAAATACTGGAATTTGATTCGGTTCATGAAAATCATAGCTAGTCAACATTAGTTACATTAGTAATTTGGATGCAAATAAAAAACAATAATTGTGTTTTATTTATCAGGTGAAAATGGAGTAATAGACGGTCAAGGACAGCTATGGTGGCAGATGTTTAAGAACAATAAGTTGAAGAATACAAGGCCTTATCTCATTGAGATTATGCATTCTAGTCACATCCAAATAACAAATCTCAAATTAGTGAATTCTCCATCATGGGTTGTTCATCCCGTTTACAGCAGGTTCATATTCAATGTATATTCTGATTATGTTCATCATCAATTCTATTCCTCAATTGAATAGGTGGCGTGATTAGGGAGTTAGGATGATATATCAGATTGAGTCTATTGGAGGTATTGGTCCTACCAAGGTCTCCCTTCCATTTTATTATTGACTTGCACCCTATGTTTACTCCCACTTTGATACCTTCTTTTGAATCTCTCCTAACCAATAATATGGTCATTTTGACTTATGTGGAGTGACCCCAAATGAGTTGTCTGCTGCCTCCTCCTTTGTCTTTGCTTCACCCGTGAGTGTCCTTTAGTGTTGGCCAGTCTATTACTTCCTCTGTTCTTTTTTAATTGCAACAGTCAACATTTCACGCTTGCCAACGCAGAAGTTTGACCGTTAATATCTTTAATTCCTTATTAGTAAAAAAATAAAAAAAAATCAGATTTTGAAAATTTATTATGAGAGGAATTTAAAAATATTTTTAAAAAATTTAATTCATAATATATTAATAAATAAAATGTAGTCAAAGTAGAATCTGTGAATAGTGAAAAAAGTCCTACGTTGCAACTAAAAGAGAACGGAGGTAGTATTTAGCTGCTCTCTTCTTCCCTGTGAAAGAAAATCCAAAGAGCAGACCCCTTCTCCTTTCCTTTGTGTGTAAGTTGAGAGATGTACCTTATTAGTGGTGGAGATAAAACATGGTGTTGTGTTATGGTCTAGTCTAGGGTGGTGTATGTGAGCCTATTGTGAAGGTTGGAGACCTGAGCCGGAAAGAAATCGATCCTCAACTGAAAAACTTCAAATTATACTTTTCTTTTGAATTAAAATTGCCTATATGAATATCATAATAATAATCATAATTTGTATATCAGACTCAAAATAAGTACTCCGTACTTTTCTTCGTAATGAAGTTATACCTTATTTGTTACAAAAAAACCTACAATTAGTTACACTAAGATTTCAACTAATTGTGATCACCTAAGATTTGAGATTTTGATATGTTTATCTGTTGCCAACACCCGCTTGCAGTGACATTATAATTGAACATTTGACAATTTCTGCCCCCTTGGATTCCCCGAACACTGATGGAATTAATCCAGGTCCGTTTTTACAAATTAATGTTACTGTGTATATATTATTATTACTGTTTTCTTTCATTCTTATCTAAATACTAGCTATGTTCGCACATTGTGCGAAGGTAGGTGCCCAAGAACAATAAATTAAAAATAGATAGCAATAGAATAATCAAATGGAGTGTATTTTGTTGTCACTTTGATTCTAAATGGATTCTTTCAATAAAATCAGTTAAATCACCCTGGTGTTTCCAAATTTATTGGATAATAAAATAGCTCACCTAGTTCGAAAGATCTAATATTTTATATTGTATCATAATACTATCAGTCTATCAGGACTATTTTTCTGAGTCTATCACGAATTTAAGAATTCTCTATAATTCAATAATTATTACATTAATACTCTAAAAACCCAAGCAAAAAGAATCTTAGTCATTGACTATATGAAATTCAGTGTGATTTTCCCTTAATTATCTAAAAAGAGCTCTTAAATTGGGCCGTCTAATGAAATTGGAGGTCCCCATTCCAAATGAAAAATCGAGACCGCACATTAATATAAAAAAAATAAAAAAAAATCTTATTCCAAATACATATACACAAATTAATTGAATACTCATAAAAAAGAACTAAAAGTGTAAAATGACCAAGGAAAAAATGATTGATCTATATTTTTTTCCTTACTGCTAACTTTATTTTACTGATTAGTATTAATATATTTTGTATAATATTACTATATAATACTAAAATATTTAAAAACTTAGGACTCTAGAAATCCGGAGCTCTGTTCTGAATAACCTATTGAACCCTTTAAAAAATGGTCATGCTCTTAATAAAACGAGTCAATTGAAATATGAGTGAAAATCACAAGGAATTCAAGATAAATTAGCCATACAAGTATTGAGATCAACCGTGATGTGTATTTGTGGAGATAAAGAGCCCAGCATATGTAATTGGAAGGGGTCGAGGGGATGCACTGAGAAGATAGGGTGTATATGTTTTTGCTTCTTTCATAAAAGTGAGGATGCGGAGAAAAAAGTAGGTTCAAGATGGTCTTTGAAAGAAAAAATTTGAGGAAGAAATAAATGATCGTAGACGGCGTGAGGAATAGCGCTGACGGAATCTTGTTTAACGGTAAATGGGCGGAAGTTTTTGGAAGCCGTTCAAGTGAGGCTTTATATAAGTAGGAGATAATGTGTACTACTACCTCCGTCCCGCTATTAACTTCCTGCTTTCCTTTTTGGGAAGTCCCAAAATTATCTTCTCATTTCCCTAAATGGAAAGTTTCTCTACATCAAAACAATGTCGTCAAACAGTGCAAAACAGTGTCAAACAGTGTCTAAATAGTGTCTAAACAGTAAAGTCAAATTTAATTCCTAAAAATGTGTGAGGGTCAAAGTAAGAACTTAAAAACGGGACGGAGGGAGTAATAAGTTGTATGCATGCTCATTACGTAAAAAAGTGTAGAAATAGTACCCTGATTTTTTTTACTAAATAGTACGACCCTGATTAGAAACATTTAGTATTACGTACGTAGTAGTATTTATAATTCATGTCCCATTAATAATGATTTTGATTTATTACTACTCCTATATTGGCTGGAACTGGAATTTTAAGAAAGAATTTCTTAAATAAGAGTGAACTATACAAAGTACTTTTTATTTAGACTATTTTACATTCCAGATTAGATCAAACCACAGAATCAAGTCGATTAGAGAGCTCATAGGCCAAAGCCGCCGCTAGATAATTTCTGATTTCGATCTTTCTTGATCGAAGTTCGGTCAGTGTTTCCCTAGAGAGAGATCTTGCTAGGGTTTTTACTTCGCCACCCTGGTGTGGCGTTTCTTTCAATCGACGCAATTCTGCGCCGGATTGTTGTGGTTTGGACGTAGCTCGGGATGGATGATCGTGGCAGCGAGAAGATGGTGGAAGAAGCGAGAGAGAGACGTAGGGATGATCAGGACATGGCTAGCGTGGAGAGGCTGAACGCTCCATTCGATGGCATGGATTTGGGTCATACGACGGTCCGACCTCCGCCTGAACCACCACGGGTTTTACGAGGTGCTAGAGTCCGTGAGAGTTTTCTTAGTAGTTTTTATCTATTTGTCATTTGTTTTCTTGTGTTCATCTTTGTTGTTGGTTTTGACAATTTGTTTGAGTTTTTAGTCTCTCTTTATGTCATTGGGTATGGTTGGATCTATGGGAACATGTTTGGCTGTGTCAACCCATTACATGGTTAGTGATTCGTGTTGCTCTTTTAGGGGTGACCGTCTCAAATTCTCACCATAGGGTTACAGTCGTAGTTGTTGGAGTTTCAGTTGGTGTTAGTTTTATTTTCCCTTTGCTTGATGTAATGATCCTGAATCTTTTGATATGAATAGGTGCCTGTTTTGATGATATAAAAAATCAAACCAGACTTAAACATACTAGGAGGCCGTTTGGAACCCCTGTTTTTCGGCTTATCAGCCAACTTTTTCACCAAATACGTAACTTTTGCTTTCGTGTGCTGAATGGTGTAATAAGTAGAAAAGTAAGGTTGGGGTTACTTTTCTGTCTGTTTTTCTTTATTTTATTAATAAAATTTATTTTAAAAATATTTTTTCATTAAATCGGCAAAATCAGCCAATGCAGCCATTTCACCCAAAACTTCATAAATTTCAACAGAATCAGCCAAATCAGCCGATTTTCGTTCTACCAAATGGGCTCTAGATCAAACCAAACTAGACTTCCATAGTTATAAAATAAACAGAAACAAGACATTTATCAGACCGGACCAATCTAGTTCAGACCAGATCAAATTTAAATAGACCAGACCAGCTAGTACTAAAATTTCTCAAATATGAGGTTTGTTTTGTTCTAAAGTATTATTATAGCTCTTATTATGACTTTCTAATTGATGGTTACAGATTCTTGTTCAAACGTGAGAATATGGGACAACTGCATTCAATCCGGGGACGATTGTGTGGCAATAAAGAGCGGTTGGGACGAATACGGGACCAAATTTAACATGCCGTCCCGCCAAATCTCCATCAAAAGACTCACCTGCGTTTCCCCCACCAGCGCCACCGTCGCCATCGGCAGCGAAATGTCCGGCGGGGTGGAGGACGTCAGGGCGGAAGATATCACGGCCATCAATACCGAGTCGGGCATAAGGGTGAAGACCACCCTCGGCAGGGGAAGCTACGTGAGAGACATCTACCTCAGGAACGCCACGTTCCTGAAGTGGATGAAGTACGTGTTCTGGGTGACGGCGGATTACAGTAAGAAGTCTGACCACCCTGACGATAAATATGACCCAAAAGCTATCCCGAAGGTAACGGGGCTGAGCTTCTCAAATATCACGGCTCAGAACGTGACGTACGCCGGGAAACTTGTTGGGCTGAAGGCCGCCCCTTTCACAGACATTTGCATATCTAACGCCACCAATATTGCTATGCATATAGACAACGAGAAAAAAGATGAGAATAAGAAAGAACCCTGGAATTGTACGAATGTCGCCGGTAATTGGAGCTCTGTCGCTCCCCCGCCGTGTAGCCTGCTTGTGAAAACGCCCGGTCTTCAGTGCGGATTTCCCAGTGACAGACTTCCTATCGAGAATGTAAAATTCCAGAGTTGTCCTCTGTACGGCATAAAATAAGATAATGGCCTATAATTTGCATGTTCTTCAGAATTACTATGCTTTATCCATTCCTAAACTTCAGCGAACCTTACTTCAATATTTTATGTGTTCTGCTCTAAAGTTTAATATCAAAATGTTTTTTGTGTTCTGCTCTAAAGTTTAATATCAAAATGTTAATGTGCTCTTCTCTAAAGTTTAATATCAAAATGTTTCATGTGTTCATCTCTAAAGTTTAATATCCAAATGTTTTATGTTATCAGCTCATAAGTTTAATATCGAAATGTTTTGTGTTCTGCTCTAAAGTTTGTTTGTTTCGTCAACATTAAGGGGCCAGTGTGTTTGGGTTTTGGTTTTTGGGAATCGAAGGAGGAGAAGACATCTCAGGGTTGACCACTCTCCAGTTCGTGTGTTTGGGAGTTTAACAAATCTGGAGGAATAATTTTGAAAGGTCTTCTTCATCATGGACAAACCCCTTTTAACTTTTAAGTGGCTCTAAAATGAGGATTTTGAATGATAACTAATTAAGTGATAATTTAAGCTATATTTAAAATGAATATCAATTTAAGACTAAGAAAAAAACATAGGTTTTTCCCCAAAATAAGACTTAATGTTTGGTTTTCCATAAATAGGACAAACCTTACCTTTTTTACCCCTAATTCTATTTAATTAGTTAAAATTGATCCAAATAATTGCCCCCCTTAGTGTCCTTGCACAACCAAGGCAGTTCGTCGGTGGCGGCAGCACTTCGGCAGCTGGTAGGCGGCGGATTCCGATGGTGGCGGCGAACTCCGACAATTAATTAACCCAATTATTTGACCCCCCCCCCCCCCCCCCCCCCCGGTTCTCTTGCACAACTAAGCAGTGGCGGGCAGAGGGGGGTGACAAAGGGGGGCTGCTGCCCCTCCAAAAAAATTGATATATTTACCCCGAAATTTTTAATGTATATGTATTTGTATGTATATTTTTGTACTGTCGCCCCTGCTACCAGAAATTCCTGCGTCCGTCGCTGCAACCAAGGCAGTCCATTGGTAGCGGGGCAGTCCGGTGGTGGCGGTAGCTCGGCGACGGTAGATTCTGGCGGCGGACTCTGGCTATGGCGGCGACAGAAATATTGGCATAACTCCAGGAAAAAATTATGAAAAATTTTCCGACGGTGGTCACCGGAGCTCCAGCGGCAGCGGGCGGCGTCAGTCCGGTGGCGGCTGCAGGTGGTCAGCGGTTGGCAGCACTCCAGGGGAAGAAGTGGGGGTATTATTGTCCAATCACACATAAAAAGTGTTATTTAACAATGTTTAAACTAATTGGTCCTATTTTGGGGAAAATGTCATGTTTTGCTTCTATTAAGGCAGTAGCCGGATGCATTTTGAAAACCGCTTTCTTCACCTCAAACACTGTAATAGGACGCATGAGTTCTCTGTTCTACTCCACGGATACTCGCATCAGACCTGCCAGAGCTCCTTCGTTCACCTGTGTATCACTAGAAGAAATAACACATCAAAATAGTCGTCATAGATTATGTCTCCCAATTTTCTTCTATTTGTCACCCATTCCCCATTCTGTAAAAGCAATCCTTTCAGATAATTTATTCTCCCTCTCTGTTTGACCGCATTGTGAAAAAACAGTGTGTTTCCATCACCCTCCTTCAGCCAAAAGGTTTTGGCTCTCTGTTTCCAGTATACATTTTGCTTCTGTAAAAGTCCGACTAGAGCCTGCTTGACCCGATTAAATTCTGCTGCATTCCACCGACCACCTTCCGCCCTCAGATCTGCCAGCCTTTTTTTACATATATCAATTCTAGCTTGAAATCCCACATTCCTTCTCCTACCCCACTTATTTTTTTTACATATATCAAGATCTTTGCACCACTTCCCTACATTCTTCCTCCTGCAACCAAATATTTTCATTTTTTTTTTTAAAAACCTCTTGGCTGCTAATCCCTTATCAATTCGGATATACAACATAACATGGTCACTAAAAGGCCCTTCTAGCGACGTCGCCTTGTACCCATTGAATTTAGTGAGCCAACCATCATTGACCACGATGCTATCAAGCTTTTCCTCGATCCATCGCGGCGTCCCCCGGACTCTCTCCCACGTCCATTGATAACCTTCAAACGGTACATTGACCAACCCACTACTCCAAACTGCATCTCGGAAACCCCTAAGCATCCGATGCGGTTGTGGTAACCTACTTCATCGTTCACTTTGGAACATAATATCATTGAAGTCTCCCATGATTTTCCATGGTTCATTCAAAATACGAGACAGACTCTTGAGCAATTCCCATGATTCTACTACGCTCAGGAAAGCCGTAGTACCCCATGAATCGCCACTGCACCTCATCAGGTCCCAACTTTTCCGTACAATCAATGAAGCTCCTTGAGGCTGCCTTGACCATTACGTCAATCCCCTGCTTCCATAATATACACAGTCCACCACTCATCCCTTCACAATCCACCGTGTAGCAGCCATGTAAACCCAATTGCCTTCTGACCTCATCACAACGCTCTGTTGCAGCTTTCGTTTCCATGAGGAATAAAATCCCCGGCCTTTTCGATTGCATCAAATCGGCCAGTACCTGCACAGTTTCCAGATTTCCCAATCCATGACAGTTCCAACTAACCACAGCCATTTAATCAATCAGGTTCAGACCAAGAACTTACTGCAGCAGCCAGATGCACAAATTGGTTCTACCCTAGATTAAATATACGATTTACCGTAGGCCGATGGAACTAAAAGCCTGAATCCTGACAAATAGCTAAGCTTTCGTCTTCTTCCAGCCAAATCCGGCGCAATCCTGGTGAGAGAGAGCCTGCACCACCTATAAGCCTCTAATCTTCTCCTGCTCACCAGTGAACTGGAATCGCGCTTGAGAGAGAGCCTGCACCGCCGACCTTGATCTTGTGCCGCCCAGAAGAAACTATCGTAAAATCACAAATCACACCTACCAACCTGTAGCCTTGCCTTCGACCACCATAACTCTACTAGCCAAACGATCGCTCCTCGCCGAAAATAGACCGGCCATCGATCACCAAACTAACCTAGATTAGTTATGTCGTCTGCTTCTCCTCAATTTAGTCATCTTTTTGTTCATACTACGTAAATTTTAGTCTTGTACTACATAATGATTTTTGTTCATATTTTTGTTCACCAAACTCTAAATCAAACTCCTTTTCAAATCAAAAATAGGGGAAAATAATTTAAATATCCCAAACTTTTAAGGGGTGTGAGGTAAACACCTCAAATTTGCATACCCTGGTGAGAGAGAGCCTGCACCTCAAATTTTTCTTCCCGGTGTAATTTTTTGATCAAATATTTTGAGCATGTTCTTCATTAAGTCTAGTTTATTTCCACCAAATTTCAGCTCAAATTTCAATCGGGAAAGCAGTTAAATAAATTCTTTACAAAAATTGTGCTTTATATATATAAACAACGCAACTTTTGTAAAGAATTTTGCTAATTGCCTTCCCGATTGAACTTTAAGTTGCAATTTGGTTGGCAAAAAACAAACTTCATGAAGAACATGTTCAAAAAAATTCCACCAGAAAGAGCCCAAAATGGCATCGACCGGTCTGACAGGATCGCTAATCTTACCCTATGTGAGAGTAAAAATAATGTGAATTTTAAATTAGGGGTATTATATTATTGTTTCAGTTTCTTATTAAATATTATCAACATTATTCTTTCAAACATACATAAAAAAAACTTGTGAGATAGGAGAGTATATTATATTTATTGACACTTTTCTCAAAAAACATTAGTGGTGTCATTTTAACACTTTCAATATATATATATATACACATATATATACAATAAATATATAGTTTGAGTGGTGTCATTTTTAACACTTTCAATTTATATATGCATATATATACAATAAATATAAAAATTTGAGTGGTGTCATTTGAGACTATAAGCCAACACCTGGCTCCGTCCCTGTTCCACCGTTTCTGTCGGGATGGTCGTCGGAGCCTGGCGGGGTTGGAGTGATTTCATGTTCTCCGGTTATGAGTTCTTTCTGTTGTTCGTCGGTCATCGGGAGGCTTAGGGTTTCCGGTACCGGGTGGGGTGCCTGGATAGTTGATGGGTTACGAGTTACGACGGGAGAGACTGATGATAGACAAGTACATGATGTTACATCTTTTTTGAATTTTCAATATTGTTTGATGCGGCTTTCTGGCTGTAGCGAAGGTGGGCTGTGGAGGTTGGCGTGAACCGATAGTATCTCTGGTCCACTGACCTACTGGATGTGAACGGCCTGGTGGGCCGCTGGATTGGGCTTTGGACGCTCCTGATGAGCTGCTGACGCGGGAGAGGGGCTGTTGTGCTTTTGAACCGCAACTAAATTAGACTTCTAGAGGCTGCCCCTAATCAGTGCTTAACACCGGAATTGTTTTGAGTCTATCATGTTTCAGATTTGTTTTGTGACAAGAACTATGAGACTCTGGTAATTCTGTGCTTTTGGGATAAGGTATTTGAAAATACTAATTTGGTGTGAAGATGGCAAACAAAATGATCATATTCTCAATGTTTTGTATAACGAAGGCCGGATTTCAAAATGTGTAATCTGTGAAAACGTTATTATTGTAAAAATATTTATTCTTTCTTATTCCAAAAACTACTTCATACCAATTATAATGTTTTATATGTATTATGTTTATACTCTTTGCATTAATTTACACATTAACTAATAAAGTTAATAAAAAAAATACGATATAATTATATAATTATCCTAGGTATGACTAAAACTCTATGAGTTTCTCAATCTATGACTTAACTTGTTTGTTTACTAAAATAATACTAATATTTAATTAAAGTTGTAATAATGAATTAAATAAATAATATAGGTGGACAAATATGCCCTTTATGTTATATCTATAAAACCCTAAGCTTCTACTATTTTCTACAAACCCTACCCTCCATTCTCCCACTTCTAGAGATCCATCTTCCTGCCGCTGCACGCTCCCTGCCGCCGCGACACCATGGCCCGCCGTCAGCCGCCATCCAGGAGAATGGTCACAGGCCGAAATGCATCCGACCGCTTGCATCGCCGTCCAGGAGAACGCCGCCCCATGGCCCGCCATCCAGGAGCACAATCTTCGTCCAGGAGCACGCTACCCCATGGCCCGCTGTCCAGAAGCACGATCACCGTCCAAGA